AAAAAAAAAAAAAAAAAAGAGACAAGCAGTGAAAGAACAAGCATGGATTAGGAAATAACTTGAATGGTCTGATACTGAAATAACTATACGGTTCCAAGGTTCGCATTTTGTATTAATTTTGGATTTGGGCGGGGGGTAAGACAGTACAAAAGGAAAGAGTTGGTTTGTTTGGGTTAGGGTTTCTTTTCCCAAATATTTTTTTCCTCCAACTCTCAGACAAGATTCAAAGAATTTCATTCAAAACTGTGAAAATTAATTCATGTGCATGGTATGCACAGACACAGAAAAGGTAATTAGAGAACAACCAAGCTATGGAGTATTTTCTACCTTGGGTGCAGAAAAACAGCACAAGACAGTCATGAATCAAGTAATCCTAGCCAGACCCACTAGAAGCTGCTGGCAGCAGCAAATTCCTATGCAGCATGCACATAAACACTCCAAAGCAGTAAGCGCAGCCTAACTCTGCTGCTCTACAGGACTTCAGCTTTTCCCAGTGTGGAGGTCAAGTATCTACGTATGCAGCAACAGGAGCAGGGAAAGGAGGTAACATGAAAGGGAAGTCACACTTTCAAAAATACATGAGGAAAACTGTATGAAACAGACACAGCTGGCAAAGATGGTAACTGTCTAAAATAAAAGTCAGGACAGAGCTACTGTATTATCCTGGTCCTACTGGGCTGTGTCTTAATAACTTTCACACTTTCAGGTTTCTGTTCCAGATTGCCACCTGACGCTTGGCAGAAAGGCTATCTTTATCTGCTAGACTGGAAATATGTTTCTGCCCTTCTCAGTGTGATAGAATAAATACATCTTCTCTCACTTTGCCAGTCCTTCCCATTTCTACATCTTAGCCATACTCTCAAGAACAGGAACCTCATGCAGTCTGTTGTCTCCAGCATACACCATGATAGAACAATGGGCATGACAGGAGAAACACATTATCAAAAAATATATTTTATGCAATGACAATGGCTGCACTGCAAATTTAAGCCATACAATGCCAAGGAATGTGTGTTAATTATATTACAAAGTTAAAGAAAAAAGGCAGTGCAAACTTAGTGGAAAAAAAAAAAATCTTAATTATTTTGTTATTGCTGTGCTTGCCAGAATCACTAGCATCCCACATAAGAAACCAATTCTAAACTAATTTTGAGCGGAAACTTTCTTCTATAAATTCAGAATACTGCCCAATAAGCAAGAAGGGAAAAAAACCCCACATACTTTAAACCACATGAATTCTTAGTGAAATGGATGAAAGGACAATTAATAAGCAACATGTTAAATTTTGTTTCTAATGTATTGATATGCACACATAGCACAGCTACCTCATTTTAGATTCTGCAAGCCTCTCCTTTATTCTCTGTACACCTTTAAAAAGAAAAATCATGCCCCTAACATGAAAAAGGTGATCAGTCATACAAACTCTACTTCTAATCCTTTAATCTGTTTCACCAAAATACAAGAAGAAAAATTATAAATGCTTTTCTTTACCACACTAAAGTATTTAAGTGGTTATCAATTCATCATATAAGGACCAAAGCTAGAGGCAAAAGAGCTTTTTCTTTTAGTATGCATGGGAGATATAGGCTATGCCTAAATGATTGTCCAGTTGTGCTCCAGATGCTGAGCTCTCACTAACCTGCATTCACACAAAGAGCTGTTGTCCCACATTCTACTTTATATTTATCACTGCTGAATGCACACATGCATGGCCACTTAATAGCAAAATGAACAGAAATAATACCAGGAAAACACACGAAGTCTTTACTGATTGTCAGCAGCCTGTTTCATCACAGTCTCTTAAAAATAAAAAGCTTGCCTTAAGCCACTTTCAGAAAGTATCTTACATGCACAAAATAAACACTCCAGCAGTGATTTAAGCTAACCTGCTTGACTTTGAGGACTGTTAATCCACTTCAGTACAGCAGGTAGAAGTGCATGGCTGAAAAGTGACACCGCCCTAAAACACTTTTTAGCTTTGACTTTCCACACAAAACTTTATTAAGAAACAGACTTTAGACTCACTATTTTAATCCACTACTACAATTTCCTTCTTGAGTCAAGGTCAAATTTGTACATATAAAAGCATGACAGGGTGTCTGACATGGACATAAAGAAAGCTTGCTGACATCATGTGGATTTGAGACTACCCTGATCACACTGAACTATAGTGTATGTAAAGGGTCGCTTAGCAGTGCAATAACTTCATTAACAAAACACAACAATCAAAAGCAACTGCTTAACAAAATACAACCACCAACACTAAGATATTTTGAGGTTGTGGAAGAGTAAAATGCATACACCCATTTACACCATATAGCTATTTCCTACAACCTAAAATATGGCAATATTAATATGGCAAGCATGCAGAGGTCTACCATTTCAGTAGACACTATAGAAAAACTCTAGCTGCAAAGAACATTCTGTACCATTCTACCATCTTAACAACTAGGGTCAAGTGAAAGTGTTCTTTAGTGGTGTTCTCTTATTTTATATATTTTATATATATATATGCACACACTTAGCTTTTAAGTAACACCAAAAAAACCTTGTAGACATTTAAGTGAGGCACATTTATTCAACTGATGTAACTTTTTGAGATGTCTTCCATGAAACAGTTCTTTTTCTCCCCCCAGACTTCCGCCTTCAGAAAACAGACATTCACTCTAGATTATTTAAACTTGGAAAAATGCAAGTGTTTTCTTTGAAAAAAATATCTATTGTTACAGCAAAAACTTAGGCTTCCTTTCAAGCAAGATCATATGATTACGCGTTTATATTTTACTTTCCGCAGGAATTTACACACCCCCCATTTGCATCCTGTTATTCATTTAGCGTTTCCCTTTACTTCAGCATGCTGCGTTAATGAAGTGGAGCTCTGGCTCAGTCTAAGCACTCAAGGTGACAATCAGTGCTCCCTCTTGCATTTGTCAGATTTATTCTCTACAGGGTTTTCCGCATACACCAAACACTCTTGCAAAAAAGCCATTCTGAGAAGCACTGCACCGGGAGAGTACAAAAATCAAACCTAGGGCTTTTCAGAGGTTTTTTGCTAATTCAGTTCTTCCAAGGACTAATTTTTCTTTTGGAAGGTGAATTTTACTGAAATACATGCCATGTGATTTAAGATAACGAAAATAGTATAAAGATCTAATTTTCACTCTTCCGTCTGGTAGTCATAAATTGGTTACTTTTGTTTATCTTCACTTAAGTCATCAATGTTCATCTTCAAATGCCCTCAGATGGAGACTGATACTAACCTGTAGTCCTACAAGCATAAAGGCCTGAAAAAAAGTGGCAAAAAGACCTTTTCTGCTAACAAAACCCATTAAGACAACTTCTGCTGAGCGTATCAATTCTTTTTTTCCCTGTAGAGAAATCATAGCCTTAAACTTTATTCCAGGACCTTCAAACAGTGGGGGAGTAAGCAGGAAGAATAAAAATCAAGCAGTTCCATTGCATGAGAAATTGAGATAAGAAATTAAGATTTGCTATTTTCACTTCATCCCAAATAAGAAAAAACTTACAGTCTTGGAATTATTTCAGAGAATACAATTGAAACAACCACAACAAAAAACATTTCATTGAGACTAGAACTTCTTCAATTCACCAAGAGAACACAGACAAGCAAAATAATTTCTTTTATAGCAGTCTACCTGAGATAACATGTAGCAAAGATTTTCATGAAACTGAGGCGCCAAGAGAATTCTGATTCGATAGGAGAATATATCTGCATTTAAAAAAAGCAACACTAGAAATATTTGGCCAGCTCTAGGCTTAGAGCTTAGACTTCATACTAAGAATTGCCCTGAACAAGCACAGAAATCAAGACACTTGGATATATTCTTCAAGAAATAAAACAGAATATAGATTCATAAGCAGTAATAAACTGAAGCCAGTTGACACAATAAATTAAAATAAACATTCTGTATTCCTGGAGGAAAAAGTGGAACTATTTTAGACAGGTTTCTTGAATCCTTTCATCCATGTTTTGGAGGCTGAAACAATCTTAAACCAACGAGGACAGAGGTTTTTTTAATATCAAAGAAAGTTTAAAAACAACTTGAAACTTAATATCCACTCCATTGCAATCAAGATTCTTTAGCTACATCTGATCAGTAAGATTTCTTCTTCAACATAATAACTGTAAAATCTCAGTGACTGTTAAAAGAACAGGAAAATTAACTGAATACAAGCTCCTTGCTTTAACCCTACAATGAATAGGATCAGACTGTTTCTGCCTTTGAAGGAACTGGCACAAAGCCAACCAGTACATCACACCCTACAGAGCAGCTCGGGTAGCGAAGGAGAGAGAGGAGCAGGATACCTTGGCCAGCTCAGAGGTGACCAAGGACACACATTTCTGACCCCATGACAGGCCTAAGTGCTGCTTTATTACTCTTGCCAGGACTGGGGTCAGAGCACACCTGCCCACATAACTGGAGAACCTTAGCTGTCGTTTTAATGCCTCATGTCCTGTATTAACCAGGGCTTGGACATAGGAAAGATTTTGTCTCTATTCTTTACAAGTCACCTTTGCACTAAACTGTAGGAAGGGGCACTATCAATTACTTTATATCAAAGCAAAGTCATTTTTGATGCATCATTAAGCAAAATACAGCTGGATGGGAAGTCATATGACATATTTTGAAATGGTAATAGTTTTACTAAGGCAATTTTCAGAGGGAAAAGAGAAGTCTCTTGGGTATCTTTGACAGTCTGATGAAAAGGATTGAAGGACTCATTAAGGGCAATATTACTTCCAAATGCAAAGCTTTGAATGACTGGTGACCTAAGTGAAATATAAGTAGTTACATTTGGTTTCAAGAAAGTGGAAAGCTTACTTTATACAGTTACATTGTATACATTCACACAACAGGAGGTTCCATTAAAATACAGATAAATCTAACAGTTTTAAGTACTTAAACGGCTGAAATCAACATTCGGCATAAACCAAGTTTTACAAGCAGTTCAAACCCAAATAAATTCCCAGTGCTTACCGTCAAAAAAACTTTTAGCTCTCAGGTAACTGACGCTAAGCCTGAGCACAGACAGCTTATCCAATTTGGCGATAACATCTTGAGGGAAAGGCAGCAGGCTCGCCAAGCGGTCCAGCTCCGCATTCAAGCGGTCCCTGTGTCTCTTGGATGGATTGGACTTGACTCCTTCAGCCGGGGACGGCTTTACGCTGTGGCAGAAAAACAAGCATAATATAAATGCCAGTTCCCTTTCCAAACTGAAGGCAAATATTTGCCAAGCCTAGCATTACATATTGTCTCAATCTCTAATAACCAAAATGTTTTCCCAAGTGACTTTGTTTCCCATTGGAAAAAAAAATTGAAAGAATTGAAAAAAAAACAACAAAAAAAACCCCAAAAAATGGCTTCATCTCCCCTCCAACACACATGCTATTAAACGAAACAGCTTCAGCTACAATGTCTATTTGAACTTTTGAATGAACATTTGAAACCTTTGAGATTCAGCAATTTTCATAAAAAGCTTCCTATATTTTCAGTTAAATGTCACTTGAATTCTTCCAAATGTTAGTATTCTAAATCTACCAATAAGTTTTAGGAATATTTGCGTACAAATAAATTTGACAGTACCCTTTTTTACTTCAATAACAATTCCTCACAGATGTCCTTAATTTTTATCAGTTTGGAACAGGCTAGTATTAATTAAGTACAACACAAGTTTTAGTAACTTGCTAGGCAACCAAAACATGAGATATAGCTCAGCCAGCATGTAAAATCTTTGCAGGAAACACTGGGAGCTCATCCTTTAAGTCATCTGTCAGCTGAAGGCATTTCATTAGAATATAGCATGGCAAAAGCATGCCTTTGTACAGTACAAAGAAGAATTTTAAAAGCTTTGCGTTATGAATTAAATAATGAAGTTTTCGTAAACTTGCTATTTTCCATTCATATCCACCCTGAGCTCCAGTTCCAGATACTTGGATATTCATCCCTTCCCACATACACAGAAGTCTGGGAAAAGGTTTAAACCCCTACTCATTTAAATTACAACTGGCTTGTCATTATAAGCCAATACTGAAACCAAATAATTTATCTGCCTAAGCCATCGTACATTTTATGTTCTTTATTAAACAGTTTTCTAATTAAAGAGCGACTCATTGTCACTTTTCCAGTACTGCAGTTCTACGTGAGATGTACAGCAGTTATCAATTTGTGCTACTCTCACAGAAAAGTTGGTTCTGCAAGATGCATCACTCAAAAATACTAAGCAGAGACATTCAGCAGCTAATTTCTTCAATATTTCATTTAGCCTGCTCCCAACTGTCATCCTTATATCATTATATGATGAGCAATTGCAAAAGCTCCAACAGTTATTTCTGCCACTGCTTAAAGCAATCCATACAGAAAAGTAATTTCATCTCGTATTTTCAGTCAAATGAGTACTGATTGAGTGGACATTCTTATTTTTAGCTTGCTTTTACTTTATGTTTCAATTACAACTCTTGTTAGTTTAAATTCAAGCCCTTCTTTTTACAGCCATTGTTTATTCAATTGTCACTCGTCAAAAACTTGCACTTAAGCCTGGCTGCCTGCTCCTCACCACTACAACTGCCCTTTTCCACAATAAAGGAGCCTTATGTGGAGCCTGGAAATGCAAAGATGCCATAATGCAAAATGTCGATAACAGACAGAAATACAATATATCAGCAGAAATTACTTCCCAGATGGACAAAGTTAAACTTGCTGCAGAGTAAATATTGTAAATTAGTAGTGCTTTAGCCTAAAAACATTTGGAAAGTGGGCAAAACAGTTGAATCAAGAATTAGGAAAATTCTTTCTCTTGAAAAAAAACATAGGTTCATCATTAACAGAAATGGATAACTAACTATTTGATTAGATGTGTGTTTGGGACACAAATGATGACTTTGGCTCCAGCAGTTCACCACATTCCCAAGTGGGGGAACTCAACATTAAACTTTAAATAATTTAGCAAGGTTTTCTTCATATTCTCTTATGCTGGCAGAAAATTAACTTGTATAAGCCATATCATTAGCAAAACTTAAATATAGCCCTAAAAAAATAAAGTTAAAAATCATCAAACATTAGCAGCAACATTAAAGGGTATTTCTTAAATATTTTTAATGTATTAGACTGTTTCTAAATGTAGAAACAAAATAATGAGTTTCAAACATTAAGCATGTAACAGTTACATGCTAACTACTATCAAATCAAAGTGGTCTGCTTCTGAAAAGCAGAGGACCCCACAAAAACCATTTAACACACACAAACTCTACAAAATAGATCAGCAGTAAGTAACAGGCTTTTCTATCTTAACAACTGTCCCAGCTTCGCTTTAAACTTGCAAATTGACCAATTAGTTGAAACTATGTTCAAGTTGCAGTCATCTCATCAGATTTTCAGTTAGATGTGATTATTTTTCTACTTTACATTTACTTTCTAAAAATTTCTCTTACTTTTAACTAGCTCAAGGCATCTCTGAATACTAAGTTACCAGTATTTGCATCATGAATCTTGCCATATTCTCTCCCCCAAATCAAACAACAATTATCCCTAATTTTCCCCTTTGTCACCAAACTAAAGTCATTATATAAAAATGGATCCTTCTGTGATGAAGGGCAGACGTGCCAGGGGCATAAGCAGCCACTTAAACATTTTTCACCCACTTACATAAACCCTCAATGCTAAAGACAGACCAGCTTCAATGCAAAAAATTATCTTCAAGGCTAATTTTGTGCTATGTCAAGATTAAATCCATTGAAGTGATTTATTTAAAATAATAAATAAATAAATAAATAAAAGACTAAAAGAGGGAATGTATTTAAGCTGATCTTCCCATTCTTAATCTTCTACCTTTCATAGGAAATCTGAATTCTCTAATCAAAGGCCAGAGGTCTCTGGACTTACCTACAACCCTTGTTACCCAACAGCTACAAGACCAGCAAGAACACTTAATTTTTGATGTAACGATTTTAAAGGTTTTGCCATCACAACACCAGCTGACAGCTGTTTTCACAGATCTGCTGCAGCATACTTAATCAGAAGTTTTCACTACACATGCTCATCACATGCACCTTCATAGACATTAACCCTAAATTTTTAAAAGTGTACAATTACCTGAGTCTTAATTATTATCAAAAAGCCAAATTAAGTTTCAATATTTACATGCTCATTTGTATTATTTTAAAGGGAAATTTTAGCAGTTTATAAGAAAATGCAAAGAGAGAGTAAGTTTTTCGTAAAACAGAATGTAAAACACTGGGGAAAAAGTAGAAAATCCAGCAACCACGAACTGAAAATCATGATACCTTAATAACAAGGCTGAAGTGTGAAATGAAATTGGAGAATAAAAGAACGTGCAAGAAGAACACTAGAGATAGAGATCTGTTTTAAAAACCTAATTTGTTAAAAACCCTTAATTATTAGTTCATCAGAACTATTTTATTGCTTAGGAAAGAGGGACATAAAGAAAAACATACAAGTCACCTAACTAATAATGGATTTAATCTTCTCAGCTTTGAATATTTTTTATCTCATATTTAATAGCACATGCAATAACATATCTTTTCCTAATACATAGGATTTCACTCAGTGGAGGCCAGGTATAAAAAAACCAGTTACTCTAAGCAAGTAATAGAATCCTAAAAAAAAAAAAAAATAATCTGTATTTAATTTAGCAGCTGAAAAATACTTCTGAGCATTTACACTTATTTCCCACACTGAATTTACGGGTACTGAAAATTCAGCTGATATTTCTTTGGAAACAAGAGATAAGAATTGTAGTCTATCAACCTCTTAAAGCTATTGCCAACCAATCTTGAAGGGGCAGAGACCCTTTCCAATGTCTCTAGTGTCTCTTTCAGTAGAGACAGAGTTTCTACCAGAAACTAGTCAAGATTCAAACTGCTGAAGGGGTAAAGTTGTTTAACTAAAAAAAAAACTCAATCAGTGACATGCTACTCATCTGATGCTGGGCTACTGTTTGTCATCCAGTAGTAAATAGCTCAAGTTGGTTTGGTGCATGACGGATTCAACCAGAGCCATAGGAACATGCAGAACACCAATCAAGGATGCAAGTCTGACACTCAGTTTTAACATATTTCACAACTTTCTAAGATAAGAAGCCAACGTTTATTGGAAAAAAGCAACAAAAAATTATGGTCCTGTCTACTGACCATTCTATTTTTATATGTAAAGTTGCTGCAGATTCTCTCTCTAAATGTATTCTTTTGCAAGAAACATTAACCAAAACCAACCAATCAAAAACACCCCACGAACATTAAAACAAATTACTTTTAAGTAGCAGTCTACATACTGCTATGCCAAGACTGACAAATATATATAAGAAGTTTATTCTATGTAAGACAACAGTCTTACACTGCCTCCATTTCAAATAAGAGGTGCAAACTGCTTTGTAGCAGATACTGCTTTACACAAAGGAATATTTCAATGACTATTTTTCTTTTCTGATGAACTTCCTTTTTGAAAGCTTATTCTGGGACTTCTTGTTTGTTTGCTTGAATGAACATATAAATAGTTCCAATTTTTTTTAATTAAAATGTCTCTGCTCTGCTTTCTAACATTAGTAGGATTACTCACCACTAAAGATCAATCAGTCAAAACTCTGGAGTACTTAATGTCACAAATACATTTAAGATAACAAAGAAGAAAACCCTATAATAATTCTTATAATTTAGTCTACTATATAAACAAATCATTATGCTTTTTGCATAGCATGAAGCATTTAGAACTCCCCACCCCATTCCTTGTCTATTACCAGTTATACAAATTACCCAGTTATACAAAACAATTCCTATCCAAACACTGAAAAAAAGAAAAACCAAATCAGAGCTATTTGGCAGAAAGACATAAAAACTGCAAGCTGGAGCTGTACTTATATAAGACCTTTCATCTCATGTTAGAATCTATCTGCAGTAAACCTCACTTCCATAAAACTTGCATTTCTTTCCCTGCAGCTTCAATGCTACTATATTAGTTCATTTAATAGTCACTAGATAAAAGAAGTTGGAAGACTTGGAAAAAAAGACAAAAACAGAAAGCAGGGGGCACACATTGCTCCCCAAGCCTCAGTGGGGAGTGAAACATCCCCCAGCCCTGCTGCCACCAGGGGGACTCGCAGGGTTTAAACCTTAAAGAGGGAGGACATTGAAAGACTCCAAGGTACTGGGAAAGTGATTTCTGTAGCATATTACAAGCAATTGCAGTGCACATGGTTAGCATCTTTTTTTTTCTCTTCCCTTACATGACAAGATAACAAGATTAATTGCAGGAACAATTGCCTATTACGTTTCCCCGCAATTGCTTTTATTTTTCAGCTGCAATACTGTAATTCCCAATGGTATCAAAAAAGCACATTACAGCACTTGGCACAGTCAGACAACAGCCTGTGATTCCCTCTCAGATTCAGTTCCCTACAGGGCACATAGTAAAAACTGGGAATTGTAAGGAGGAAGTTTCTTAAATTGTTATAGTGTTACGACCATGGCTTTCATGAGTTATTTGTACCTGAAACAAGAGTATTTCTTCTGTTTAATTTTTTTTCCCATGGCAACTATAGCATTATATTTAGACCTCCTTCCATTTCTGTAAGCTGTCTACACAGATTACTGATTATTATGCTCCATTAAGAGGCACATATATGGCAAACAAAACATTAGAACTATCAACACATACCTCTTCTAAAGATTATCTAAAGATACTAGTCTAAATAATGTATCACCTCTACCTTTTTCTTCTTTCTTTTTCTTTTTTTTTTTTCTGAATAACTGTGAATTCTACTGAGGGGAGGAAAAATTGAATTCAAACAGATTAAAACGACAGTAGTGTCAAACCTTTATTAGCCAGCAACAAGTAACTCCATCCTCTCTCCTGCAATCAGTTAAAAAAGGCTTATTGCCTCTCTCACTGGTTTTTGGCCTAAAGGTGTGGTCTGTAAGTAGTTAAAAGTGAGAAATCAGAGCCCTGTGACCCACTAGCAATGTTCTCCAAGACTGGCCCAACACAAGCATCAACCAAAAAGCATAAGGTATTTTGAGAAAAAAAAAGCAAAAAGCCACATGAACATGATAAATGTGTTAAAAGCAAGATAATTGTCTTGCATAAAGATAATTTCCAGTAACCTAAGCAAGGTGGGTTAATAATCAGCCTCTATTTCAATTACAGGTGAACAAACCGTTTTAACATGAATACTTCTATTTTGAGAAGAAACTTCTCTCTCTGATCCTAAGGCAAAGTCCCTCAATAGATAAATAGTTCCCACTAGTAATAAAGCTTCAAGTTCAGCTAATCACAGCAGTTCAGCCAACTTACGTAACAAGAAGCTACAGAGAAAAGGATTACTTACATAGACACTACAGTAAGGTAAAACAAAAAGGTTTCACATCCTCTAGCCAAGGCTAACCAAAATTTAATAAGAAGCTAGACATTAAGCGATCTTACCAGCAAGGCAGAAACACCTCACCCTTTCACAATCAGAACCACCTGCCTTTAGATATAGTAGGCTACAAATGCCACCAATACATTTCATTTCCTCATGAATGAACACTGATTTCATTCTTAAAAAGACAAATCTACAGTGTGAATTTAATTAGGTACCTCTACATTTGTATTTGAAAATGAATGGTCAAAAAAGTGGTTAAAAATTAATTTTCATAATTAATGTATTTTCTAGCAGGGGAATTAAATAAAATATATATTCATTTTTAGACTTTTTTCTTAATTTGTGGGGTAAAATACCCCAATCTATGTACATGCATTCATTCTAACAGCTCCAACCATAAAGAAACAAGCACTCAAGCTAATCCCTTAACTCCAAGACCAAGCTGTCTGCTGTGAATCTAAAAACATATAATTCACAGTATGATTACATCAAATATTTTTCATTCTCTCCTTTAATGCTTTTGTAGCCCTTGTAGTTATTTTGCATATACAGAAGTAGCCCACAGAAATGCACTGGGATTTTTTGAGCTATGCTTATTTTTCTTACTACTCAGTAGTTTACCTTTGCTACTTTTTATGACCTATAGATTCTTGACTTTCAGTTGAAAGTGCAAGTTAAGCATCTCCTCTAGCCTAAAAAAACTTCCCCTCTCATGAGACTACCGCTTTAGTGAAGCATATAAAACCCAGGATGCAAACCTAAAGCAGGTGCACCATACAAAATTACTCCAGCAGGTCCCACAGTTTCAAATACATAAATTTAAAAAAAGAAAGCCACCATATAGCCAGGGTTTTTTTTGTTTTTTGGTTTTTTTTCCTCTTTAGACTGGTCTACAGCACTTGGGTTTCTTTGGCTCTGCACAAATAAATGCATCTTATGCGGTACCGGAGGGTTCAAGCCGGGGGTTCAGCCCTCCCAGGCAGGCCCTACACGGTGGGACCCGGCCAAGCCTTTCCCGATTCCCCGCAGAGGCACCTGAGCGGGCCGGCGGGTGCGCAGGGGGAGCGGCACCACCCGCGGCACCCACCCCGGCGGGGCGAGCGCAGCCGCCGCTCGGAGCCGTCACCTCAGATGCCTCCCAATCTAGGTCAGCCGGCTGCGCCGCGCTGCCGGCACCGCTCCCTCCTTCCACCGACCCTCCGCGCCCCGACACTCCCTTCTTCTTTTTTTTCCGGGATGGGGGGAAACCCTAGAAGCAGTAGGAACGCTGCCGGTACCCCGAAGCGGCGGCACTCGCGGCGCCCCTGCACCGCACCGCCCCCGCCGGGCCCCCGCGGCGCGCTGCGCGGCAGGACGGCGCGCCCCCGGGAAGCCCGCCGCTCGCTCTCCCCTCCTTGCCTCGCCCGTCCGCGGGGCCGCTTACATTTTCTGCACAGGTTTCCGCCGCTTGCGACTGGCGTAGGTGACATTGGGGTTCATCCTGCCGCGGCTCTAGCTCCCCGCGCCGCGGGCGCCGCCGGCCGGGGGCCGCCGCCCCTCCTGCCCGCCTCGCCCCGGCTGCGGGGAGCGGGCGAGCCCCACCGGCGCCGCAGCCCTCGCCTCGCTCCGCCCGCGGGGCCCCGGTCCGGCTGCCCGCGGCCGCCCGGAGCTCGCTCGCTCGCAGCGGCGGCGGCGCCTTCCCCGGGCGGGCGAGGACGGGAGGCGGAGGCGCTGCGGGGCGGGTTCCCAGGTGATCGGCGGCGGCTACACCCACTCGCCGCCCCCGGAGGGCACAGGTACGGGGGCGGCCGGGGCTTTCCAGCGCCGCTCGCGCCGCGTCTCCCCGCCGAGGCGACGCCGTCTCCCTGTCGGCTCCTCTGCGGCGGTGGGAGGGTGCGCGGCGGGCTCTGCACCCCGGCGCGGCCGCCGTCTGCTGGCCGAGCGCCTGTCAGAGTGCGCGGCGCCGGGACCGCCCCGCAGCGCCCGGCCCGGCCCCTCGCCCGCTCCCGGCCGGGTCCCGCCCCGCCCGGCTGACAGCCGCCACCGCCCCCTCGCCGGGGAGGCCCCTCGCGGCGGCGGCGGGCGGAGGGAGCAGGGGCGGCCGAGCCGCCATGTTGAGAAGGTCAAGCGAGGAGAGGGAGGACCGGAGCGGCGGCGGGGGGAGCGCGGCGGGAGCGCTCCAGGATGGGCATGGGGATGGGGAGAGGGAAAGACCCCGAGCCTCTGGTGGCCGGCGAGCCGTGCGAGCGGGGCTCCCGCAGCCGGTGAGAAGGAAGGTCAGCTCCG